GAATGACCTAAACCATGACTAGTAGTCTTTGTTATATTTTATAAACCAGCAAAAGCTGTTTATATGATGATTGCTTCAAAATGAAGGACAAGTGTTGTTCACGAGGGGCCTGGGGATGTGATTAATGAACAAAGGAAAAATTGTTTTAGTGTAGAGAACTGAGGAGCAGAGGAGAAGGGACACAGAGTTGAAGCACAAGCAGAAGTAGGGGTATTTATGAGCTCCCTTTGAGGGGGCCTTAATGCCACTAAAGGGCTCTTGATCCAAGGAATTGGACCACTCAATACTTCTTTGGATCATACCTGATTATTACTCATTCCTAGGTACTTTAAGACCCCTAAGAGTTTAGCACTTACAATGATAATTTATGAGCAGCACAAAATTAGTGTAAAAGATGGTGGATAATGTCTGGTTTAGTAGCGATGAGTTATGGCTTAGCTGTATGACATGCTCTCTTGCTTGTTAACATAGTGACATTAGGAGAGCTGATATGTTTCTTCTAGAACAACACAGTCCTCAGGTTCCCAAGTCTTTACAATTTAGTGACAAGAGTAAAGAGGTATAATATACTGCAGGATTGTTCCATGAATTCTCCTAGTTTAAAGATCAGATGATATGGCAATACAAATGTTTTTTTCCCACCTGTTGAGTTGTCTTTCAAGTGGAGTCACTACAATACAAAACTTGCACACAGTGTACCATACTGGGACTCTCCATCAGATTAAAGGTGCATATATACTCATGCTAAGCATAACCAAAAACACTAGTACTTACCTTCACCTCCAACTGTGCCCCAGCCTTCTCTTAAATGATGGTTAAGGGAAAGAAGGTAATTCATGCTATCTATGGTTCACTACTGCACAATAATAGAGAGATTAATAACTATAAAACTACTAAAAACAATAAAATAAGCCTGTACACAATGAATAAAAAGAAAAGAGTAGGTGACATTTACCAAAGATATAATGTCAGATGCCTTTGTTATTGCTAATTGGATATCTTCACAGGGACGGTGGCTTGATGTTGAAGCACTCTTCTTCCAAGGAATTGGCTTGGATCTTTGCTCATATTACCTGAATTGAACCTGAATGCCTTCCACCCCCTCCCCTACAGGTTTATCACCCCACCCCCATGATAATCCAAGGAATTGGAATTATACTCCTTCAAACCTGATTATTACCCCCTATTCCCCAGGTGCTGCATGAGCCTTGTGGGTTTCATGCATCCCCACAACTGTAATAACAACTAGATGTGTTTGTCACCATGATACCAGAGAGGTATCCCCTATATCCCATAACCCCAGCCTCAATAATCCCAGAGAGGTATCACCCCTGTTGAGTACTTAGTTCTTTCTTGCTCTTTTTAACATTATTCCAATTTAATGTTGTATAATCCTACGGGTTTAGCGCTCCCCCATGATTATAATAATAATAATAATCCAATTTAATGGACTCTCAGATAACCCCTCACACTCTACAATATTCCAATTTAATGGACTCTCAGAATACAAAACAAATTCCGGCCACAAAACAGAGCGTAACATCAACGTCAAAGACCTGGGAGTGATCGTGTCGGAGGATCTCACCTTCAAGGACCATAACACTATCAATCGCAGCTGCTAGAAAAATGACAGGATGGATAATAAGAACCTTCAAAACTAGGGATGCCAAGCCCATGATGACACTCTTCAGGTCACTTGTTCTATCTAGGCTGGAATATTGCTGCACACTAACAGCACCTTTCAAGGCAGGTGAAATTGCTGACCTAGAAAATGTACAGAGAACCTTCACGGCGCGCATAACGGAGATAAAACACCTCAATTACTGGGAGCGCTTGAGGTTCCTGAACCTGTATTCCCTGGAACGCAGGCGGGAGAGATACATGATTATATACACCTGGAAAATCCTAGAGGGACTAGTACCGAACTTGCACACAGAAATCACTCACTACGAAAGCAAAAGACTTTGCAGACGATGCAACATCCCCCCAATGAAAAACAGGGGTGTCACTAGCACGTTAAGAGACCATACAATAAGTGTCAGGGCCCCTGAGACTGTTCAACTGCCTCCCAGCATACATAAGGGGGATTACCAATAGACCCCTGGCAGTCTTCAAGCTGGCACTGGGCAAGCACCTAAAGTCGGTACCTGACCAGCCGGGCTGTGGCTCGTACGTTGGTTTGCGTGCAGCCAGCAGTAACAGCCTTGTTGATCAGGCTCTGATCCACCAGGCGGCCTGGTCACAGACCGGGCCACGGGGGCGTTGACCCCTGGAACTCCCTCCAGGTAAACTCTAGGTAAACACTCTACAATATTCCAATTTAATGGACTCTCAGATAACCCCTCACACTCTACAATCACTTAAGCAGTTTTTGATACTTCTGCAGGTGATGGCAAGGAGTGCTGTCTTTCATAGTGTTGCTGACCTTTTCCAAATAATCAGGCAAATCCATTATAAGCTCCAAATAATTTTTCCAATTCATTATGATATTTCTGGGAAGTATCTCTTAATTCCCCAATACCATCAGTGAAACATTCTCACACCATGAACGATGCAGGCATTTCACCATCTCAGCAGTGTAGTGAGGGCAGTGTGGGTTAGAATGAGGTGTGCAGTACACCCTCCTTACACCACCACTAGCCACTGTAAAGGTCAGTTTATCTGACCACACACGTCCTTGCCACTCCTCGAAATCACACTCGTGGTATTTCTTGCAAAACTTTAAGTCTCCTTTTGCCAAACTGTGAGAAGAGGTTTACTACATGCATGAAAAACTTCCAAATCCCATCATCATAGAGGAACTGCTGGAGACATCCAAGGGACACGTGTTCCAATAACAGGATTTTTCTCCTTCACTTCCTGTGCTGTGATGGAAGGATTTGCTTTTCCTTCACTAGCAATCCCTTTTAGAGTCCTTGAGGACATTAATTTAGGCATACCAGTCTTGGGAAGAGGGACTGGCACAAGTCTCTCTTCCTTGTCACAAAAAATAAGAACATAAGAAAGAAGGAACACTGCCACAGGCCTACTGGCCTATGCGAGGCAGCTCCAATTCTCCCGCCGGCTTAAGCCAATGCCTTGACCTAGTGAGGTCAGACACATCACTTAAGGGAGGAGCAGTGCATCCGACCTAGTAGCACAAGCTAGTCAGGTCCAACTCACACCCACCCACACCCACTCATGTATTTATTTATTTATTTATTTATTATTAATTTGGACATGATACAAAGATGTACAAAGAAATACAGTGGTTAAGTGTAACATGCCAAAAGGCCCTTGCATGCAGAGCATTATGGGCAGGCTTAAAATTAACTAAGATTAACTAAGCAATGATATATTCAGTGAAATTGGCCAAGTGAAAGTCTGGGACAGAGATTTGATTGCAGTTATCCAGGTAACTCCATGATATGTTGAAACTAAGTGATTTGTGATTGCTTTCCCCAAGCTCATCATTAACCTCAAGATTATTAACTAGTGATTCTTTGTTGGCAAGAACCAAGTCAAGTAGACTCTTTCCTCTAGTTGGTTCTGTCACAAACTGTTTTAAAAAGCAATCCTGAACAGTATCAAGAAAGTCACTAGACTCAAGATTTCCTGTCACATTGTTCCAATCAATTTGTCTAAAGTTAAAATCTCCCATTAACACAACATTTTCATATCTAGATGCCTTATGAATTTCGTCCCATAGCAGCTTACTGCACTCTCTATCAAGGTTTGGGGGCATATAAATCACACCCAAAATTAACTTTTCACGACCCTCGGGAAACTGTAGCCAAACAGATTCTGTGTCCGATGTTTCTAATCTTATATCATGTCCAACACAACAATTTAAATTATCTCTGACATACATCGCCACTCCACCACCCTTCCTGTTGACCCTATCAGTATGGAATAGTTTATAACCTTGTATGTTGCATTCAGAAAGCATTTCTCTATCTTTCAAGTTGAACCAGGTCTCTGTTATAGCAATAATACATATCTATATTACCTGCACTTGCAAGTAATCTTAGCTCATCTATCTTATTTCTCAGACTCCTACTATTTGTATAGTAAACCTTAAGGGAGTTAGTCACTCGTTGCCCTCTACTATCTCTTTGTTTGTTGATCAATTGCTTTGCCTTTACTAGCAACTTTATTTTGAATACTGTCTTTTAAACATATCCCTGAGGTATCCTGGTTATACCTGCTGTTTTCAACCCTAGTATTGTTTGACGAGACACTGCACTAACTGCAATTTTAGTCCCATTTGAGCAGAAATAGTGCATCATGGCCACTCACATGCCAGACAATCACAGCTCATAATATCCTTCTTATTTGCACTTCTGGACATTACTGTTGGTCACAAAAGGAGTTAGTGACCACACAAATGAAAATATGACTTATGTGAAAGAAAAATCTTACTATAGCCACAAGGTTAGTGGGTGAATCTTGTAACACATGCTGCACTGGCAATTGTTTATACAGCACAGCCAGAATATCATAATATTTCAGATCCCACAAAATACACACAAGTACAGTATGAGAAATGAATTACACAAGTCATTACGTTGGACTACTGGTGTCAAACTTCTGTACAGACTGTACGTGAGAGCCACACATATGCAGCTCCCTCTTTTCAGCATTTTCACTGACTTTCAATCGAGTCATTGCTTATTTCCGCTTTTCTCACACAACAGTTGCATAAGGGAAGGATGAATGGCGATGTATTTTATGTTAAGTATTGTATGTACTATGTATTTATTTAGCTATCTGTTTTTTTTATGCCTAGTTGTATTGAGCACTTAATACATGATAGTGTAAAGATGTTATCAGGCATTTTAGATGCATTCAATAATGAAAAAAATGCTCTTTTCCACCTGCCAGAGATTTTCGTTTATCGTTTGGGGCCGCGAACTTTAGGAGACGTACAAATGGGGACCGCTTGTACATCTAAACATTTAAGTCAGAAGCTTTATAAGTACATTAACTAAAGCCCAGGTTGTAAAAGATATGAAACTCACTTTTATAAAAAAGTACTTTTATTTGAATCTTTTGTTTCTCCCACACAACATCAATACAACTTGAAATTGGCATTCACTTAACACTGAGCAATGTTTACTATTATAAAATACACACAGCACATGTAGTGAAGCTTGGACAAGAGACAACAAAGTGCTGTACATTGATGTTTATACCTATCCAACTAATATCATAATGACATTTAAAGAAAAAGAAAAAATAAGCACCAATCATGTCTTTCCTTAGAGTACGCTTATTATTAAAAATACTGTGTAGATTTCGTTTTACAAACTAATAAATGCTTTAATTATAAAATGTATATATCATTTACAAAATGTGTATGTAAAATAAGGATTCTCCAACATACAAGTATGTAAATTGGCAATCTCATGACTATATTAAAATTATAAAACCTAGCTTGTGAAAAATATTACAAGTGTACACATTATTCTGACAAGTAAAACCCATTACGTAATATACCTGAACTGTGAGCTTTTGTGAGGGAACATACCCTTAACTCCTGGAAAAGTTCATCCTAACACTATACACAAATTTAATAAGGTAATATCCTACAAAACTTTCGTTTTTTCCTAAAATTCTTTTTTTCGTTTGGGCCACCCTGCCTTAGTGGGATACAGCTGGTTTGTTGAAAGAAGAATATCCTATAAAATTTGTATATCCAACAAAAGACATTTGAAAATGGTAATAAAACCAATGGAGTAAACCAAATAATCTGTGACTGCAGCTGTCAATGACACACAACTAATCCCTCTGAAAAATCTGTGAAAAATGTGTGTATGAAGTTACTGGTAATAGCTTGCCTTGTGACTTAGAAACAAAGACTCGCTGAGAACATCTTCAATATCATGCAATGCTCATGTCTACCTGCAACTGCCCCATGGCAAGACTTTGTGCACTAAATGGGCACTGTGTAAATAGGAAAAAATTACTAATTGATCTCACATTTATTTTTCTACAATCTGAAGTCATCTAAACTAATTTCATAAGTACTTTAATGCAAAATATAAACAGAGAAGTACAATAACCATACCAGCAAATAAAATATATTTGTCCTGGGTGGAACGTCTCTCTATCATTCTCATGACAGTATTAGAAAGGCCAAGTGTGTTTGCCAGGTCCAGAACACGTTTATGAGCACCCTTCAGTGTTGATCCTTGATCACGCAGACTCTGCATAATATTAGTACCTGCTCCTAGTAGTTCATCTACATTCCGATTGGCATCCTGTAAATGACATTCAAGTTATTGACCATGTATTGTATAATTATTACAGTGGACCCTCGGTTATCGGCCGTAATCCATTCCAGAAGGTTGGCCTAAAACCGAAATAATATTTTCCATAAGAATTAATGTAAATACAATTAATCCATTCCAGACACCGAAAAATATTCCTTCCACAGCATATGTGTAAAGAACCGAGGATAACCCAAAAAATTCAGACAGAGTGACTTATTTCCAATGGGGTCCTGTCTCCCCGCTACACTCCCTGCCTCCCTGCTAAACTCCCTTTCACAACACTAGCTTCCTTGATTTCTACTTTCTTTGCCAGGATAGAAGTGATTGTTGATATGGATTTCCCATACATCCTGGCAAGTTCTAGCACTCAAACACCACTCTCATACTTTTCAACAACTTTTTTCTTAAATTCCATCGTGTTCCTCACTTTCTTTACCAAAGGAACTTTACTAGGAACTTTCTTTGGGCCCATGGTTGCTTATTTTGCAGCTGCACTCAATCAATAACCACAACAAACAATGGAATATAGTGAAATGTTTGGGTGATTGAGTAGAAGTTTCCTCACTCACAGCCAGACTGACTCACGAACATGCGAGGGGCTGGCGGGCAAGTGGGTGGATGTGTCCAATACGGCCGATAACCGGAATAAAATTTCGGCCAAAAAACTGAGCGATAACCGAGTTGGCCGATATCAGGAATGGGCAATAACCAAGGGTCCACTGTATTTGTATTTGAAAACAAGCACTAAACTTGTATGGGTCATACTGAGCAGCAGTAGAAGGGGTTAGAAGATTAATGAGACTGAAGATTACTAAGTGTAAAATTATCATGGTTGGTGCAAGAGGTTAGTTTCTATTAAATAGGCAGAGAAAGAGTCTGTATTAAAGGTGAAACTTTCAGCAGAGAAGGCAGCTAGAGTTAGTGTTTCAGTGTTGAAAATGTTGAAAGTGAATTATGTATAGTCTTTAAGAAGCAAGACAATCTCATAATATATAGTGAATTGTTAGAGCTACCTGGCAGTCCTGACAAATAAGCACCTGGTATCTCTCCATGTGGGATCCACGAGAATCAGGTATGTCCAGTTCTTAACTTACAACAACGATGGAAAAAAAGATGGCCATGACCCCACTTGTGGCTTGACAGAAAACAATTTATCCTTTAATTCAGACCAATGCTGTTGCCACCAGTTTCAGAGTGGTTGGGAGAGCACTGGAAAATAATCCAAAAAAAAAGACCCCTCTGCTGGAGATTGGCAAATCATGAGTAATGGAATGAGCCAGAAATGCTACATAACCATTAATTGATACAAAGTACAATGGAATATGGAGGAATCAAACTGATTGATATCTTGTAAGGAGCTTTGGGAGGCTGAATAAATGCCACAGAAGCAGATGTTTGTCGATAAAAACATGTCACAAGTGGCTTCTTCTAAAGGACAGAATAGGGATTGTTTAGGTAGTCTAGCCATTTAGAAAGATGGAGAAAAATGAGGATAGCAAAGAGGGTGTATAAATCCTATGGAGGTATTCAGGAAAGCAGTTAGATGGAGCCCTGGAGGTGGGAAGTGCAGTGCCTGCACTCTGGAGGAGTGTTATACATGTTATTGTTTGGAGAATCATTTAATTGTGATGTTTGTATACGTCTAGCAAGAAAGTTATTGAATGAATGTTAGTGAATGCATTTCCTCTTTTTGGGCTACCCTATCTTGGTGGTAGTAAAACAAAAATTATTCAAGTACTGTATGTCTTATTTTAGATGTTATTGATTTTTTGTCACCTCACATTTTGAAATAGTACAAGAATGAAGTGATCTGGAAAACAGTAGCTATAGACAATTCTTTCATGAAAAAAAGGAAGACTACTGTGCTATTAAGTTTGTCAAGTCACATTTGCAGGATAGCTGTTCTTACAGCTATGCTGTAAATGTGACTGACACCAGGAGCCTCATTACTCCATACTCAATACTAATAAAAATTTACAAAAACTGCAGACTTGTGACAAAGCTGAAATGTAACCAAAAATAATTAATTGACTAAGTACTGTATTCACCAACAACTAGTTTACTTTCAGTTGTACTACTTACACTTCAGATGTCAGACATTCATACTGTATATAAAGCCACTACTAGAGAAAAATCATGTGTCATCTCAACAGCTGTTTTGAAGTTGAATACCTTTAATATTTGCCAGATTATCACTAATTTCCCCTAAATAACATCAAATCAGCATTGGTATATTTTGTCATAATTTGGTCTAGAACAATGCAATAAGAATCTATAAATTAATTGAAAGATCATACTATCATTCAACTAAACTGTATTAACTCTCATGCAAGAAAAAATGTATAAATTGCATTACATTTACTTCTACTAATAGTACAGTGTATTGTATATTCATAACACAGTAATTAAAATGGTTAAACATTTAAAGTTGTTTTAACATAAATTTCTATTTCATATGTAAAGAAAATGTTACCTGTAGTTTATCATGATGTTGAAGTTCATGGTCTAAGAAAATTGAAGTTTCCTGTTGGTCGTTAGTGGTAAATTTCCGAGAAAGTAATGCATCTCTTTCCTGCATCTCACGAGCCCGCACCTGTCTGCGGTGCTGGAGCATCCCAAACGAGTTCTGATAAAAAGCATGACGGCATTAATATGCATTAATAAATTTGTTGTACCTAATCACATTAATTATTACTACTACTAACTGCTGCTAAGTATGTTAAATGACAGAGTCATGTCATTTATGGATTACCTTTAACATATTAGTGAATATCATCTTGCCTGGATTTTGGAGGACTGAAAATCTGTATGAAAAACAACAAAATCTTATTCGCTATTTAACTGGGATAACAACCACCTTAGCAGAAGACAATTACTGTACTTACTACAATGTCAAAGGGGTATACTTAATAAGTCCATCAAATTTTTCTTTGAATCTAGCAGTTATATTTTTTCAGCCTTGTTTAGTAAAGTTGTGTAGAGTCGTTAGATTCACTCAAAAAATTCCCAGTTGTACATCTGGGTGTGGCTCCCATGGTTTTATATACGAGGGGCATAGGGAGTTGCAATCTCATAGGAAGAGGGGGGTCAAGGGCCTTGTTCTTAAACATCATTTTTATTGCTATTCTTAATAATTAAGAGGGGCTTTGGAAGGCTTCTGCCTCCCCTTAACCTTCCCTCTGGCTCCACCACTACTGATGCCAGCCCAGACAACCAAGGCTCATACCAGCACATATAATATCTAGCCTTATACACACCAGGCTAGCTCAAGCAGACCTTAACTTCATAATGACTCCAGTCCAGAGTGACTTTCAGTATACAATTAGAATAATTTGCTCCATTTTTTTCAGAAGAGATTTTAGAAGAGGTAGATTTAATGTAATATCTCAATCCACATGTATCGGCCATACAAGGGCTTTACGAAAGGTCTTCTAAGTGTTTCTACTGTGGCAAATTCCTTTTTGCCTTGCTGCACAACCCATTAATTAGAAACTTACCAAAGAATTTTGTTCAAAATGTGCTTGAATTTCCCATACCCTAATCTCTCCTAGATAATTCTTGAGTAACAATAACAACATATATGGCCTCTGAAACAAAATGCCACATCTGAAATAAAATTTATTATACATACAGTGGCTTTTGCAAAGACCAATAGAAATCTAACACCCATGAATTTGGAAGTTAAGACTATTAAACAAAACTGAAGCTAGTAAATCCAAAAATGAACAGAGCTCTGCTATATATAAGTACTGTAATGTAAATAAATACTGGAACAAGTACCATGTGAGCAGAGCCACATATATAAAATTAGTATTATAGTTTGCCCTGAAATCTGAAAATAATTAAAAACAGGAAAAAAAGCAATACATATACCTGGACATGCTGAAGATCATACTTCAACTGATCAACTCGATACTTAGCATTTACACGTCTAGATGGTGGCTCCTTGTTGATCAATATACTCAAGCGAGTGCAGTTGCTGTTAATAAGATAAGGATTTTCATTAAAGACAGGAATAATTCTTTTAACTGTTTATCCTAAGGTCACACTCTTCTCTAATATTCTCACCAGAGCCAATCATAACCATCCATATGCAGAGTAAATAACCAAGAGAATATTACACACTGACTCATGAAATCATAAGGACACGATTGCAAACAAACCATACCACAGGTGGCATTTGAACCCGCAATTAGAGAGCCTCAAAACTCCAGACCGTCATGTTAGTCACTGGGCCAGCTAGTTTCAATAAGATTCATCCAGCTAGGTATATTTCAACACCATAGGAAGGTTAGCATAGGCACCACTGTGACCACAAATGCAAGTTTTTACAGACGAATCTCCCACTAGCATGGCTGTGACAAACTCTAGCACAAGTCCCCTCAAAGCCATCAACATGACCTAGTTGGATGAATCTTATTGAAGCTAGCTGGCCCAGTGGCTAACGCGATGGTCTGGAGTTTTGAGGCTCTCTGGTCGCGGGTTCAAACCCCACTGGTGGTATGGTTTGGTAATATTACACACCTTTGACAAACTCCTATAAGCATATCAAATCCATAGTTCTGTACACAATTAGCTTTCAACCTTTAAACTGAGTATGGCATACTTATGCCAAGTATGTCATATATGTATGCACAAATTTTGGGAGACTGAAATGAAGACACTTGTGGTGCAATTTACAATGGGTGAGCTTGTTTATTCAAACCCCAAATTTATATTAAAAAATTGTCTTTGATAGCACACAGAAAAAGCAATTTTGAAGGAAGAAAACACTGATGTAATTGTGTAATTTATCCACATAACAGTGACAACATCTGTGGTGTTGTACACGACAGCGCACTTCACCAGAACACGACAAAATCGCGTCAGAACCCTGCCACATGGAACATCACTAGTGGCAGTCATACTGTTGTTGCTTGTCAACTTGCTTTACAGACTGAAGCAAGTAAAATTACAATCAGTTTTATATAAAAAATACTAAGACCTGTGAAACAGTAAATATCATATACTGTATTATAATATACACGTATTATTTATACACCACTATATTGGGTGCTATATAAAAAAAAGCGTGCCAGCTGTCCTCGTTAGAAGTCGCACCATTTCTTAAAAAAAAAAAGCAGTGTTCATATTTTTAATAATTTTTCTATTTGTACTGTGCGCAGCTTTACATGTGCTATAGAGAATGGGTTAAATTATGCTCCGCTTCCTTCACAAATACAGTACTACATGATCAATATTTTCCATATGATCCACAAGATCAATATTTTCCAAACTTTAGTCTGCTCATTTTATTGTGAGTTTTCTCCAAATCCTCAATGGTCATGTATTGTACACCTTACAGTCTCTCATATCCTGCTGACTTGAAAAGCATCTAACAACATAAAAGTAATCTATACATTACTTAAAATCCACTAGGGCAATTAGCAATGATTTGATGCAAGTAATTTTGATACTGCAGAGTACACCATCATCCTCAAAGTAGAGTACTATGAACTCAAAGGCCATACAGTGAGACATACCAACTATTACCTCAGTATTATCCTAAACACTGGTGTATTACAAAGAAACATCTTAAATCTATATATTAATTGTCCTTTACAAATCAGTGACACTCATTTTAGTCACCTGCAACCCTGATCCATCTCTCATAATATAGCAAATTAAGAACCAAATAAAAGATAAATTTGCCAACATAAAACAACAGAATAGTGCTGTAAAATACTGTATTACAAATTCTTCATAAAACAATGTCATTGCATAGAACATAGAAAATCCATTAGAAGAGGACACCATCACTCTGCATACTTACGAATGAATAGTGTCCAGCTTCTGCATGACCACGCTCTCTGCCTCACTGTATTCTTCAGGTGTGCGTGACTGCTCAACTTTTGCAAGATCATTAGAGGTTATCTCTTGCAACAGACGGTTTGTTTGGTGGTACAGAGGCTCCATTTTAACCGGAATGTAAAATGAAAGATATTTCACTGATTCTGAAGAAAGTTAGCAGCAGTTTTGTTCATGAAGACCTCTCTGCTTACATAGTTTTTCTTCACCTTTCTTTTTTTTTGCAGGCTTGTTATATCTTGTGCCCAGTCTAGGTTGACAGCTCACTTATTCCTGTAAATACAAAAATAAATAAATAAATAAATAAATAAAAATAATATATATATATATATATATATATATATATATATATAAATCTTTTTCACATCAAACAAGTAAAAACTGCATATTTTAGTCAATAATCATAGTCTGAATTGTACAGTATTAAGCTTGGTTTACAGTTAAGATCTTTCTGCAAATATTGAAAAAAAAGATAAATAACAAAACCCCACCTAACCTAAAATAACTTAGCGTACTTTAACCTTACTCCGCCATCGGTACTGCCACACTTTTTTTTTTTTTCACAATTTTAGCAAGCACGACACACACCTGGATAACCTAAATTACTATTATCGCTAACTTTAAAAAAATAATTTGGAAAATAAATACTTACTCCGTGGTATACACTTGTTGCTATGCATTGTAAAATGTAAAATAGTTCCGCGAGTAGTAGTCCGTAATTATAACCTATAATAATAATTATAAATTATAATAATAATATGCTTGATGGAATCATTATAACGATTATATAAATTAAAAACATCATCAAAGAGTATCATGCTGAAATTCACTGATAAATTGAATTCCTTATCAGGGGTCACACAGCACATGAAAAACAGGACGTTAATCCGATTTGATGCAAGGAAGGGGAAGGTGACCCCAACTCCTCGGATCAAGAGCTATTCCCAAGCGTCAATACAACCCCCCAAAGCAAGAAAACAACGAGGGAAGGGAGAAAAATGGTAAATTTCACCTGAGAGTGTGAAGCAGCGGCTCCAGTCAGCTGATTGAGAGTAAACACCAGACCTGACGTGTAGTACTCTCAGGCGATTGTTTTAAAGAATATACCACATATATCCGCAAAATTGTAAAATATTTTTAACAAAGTATACACACAAATTACAGCTTCTCTTCAAAACAAAATTACTTTTTATTTTTCTATTGAAATTATTTAGATAACACGTATGAGAGTACGAATCGCAACTTATCGTGGGATATTTAAAAAGAGAGAGAGAGGCAGTAAGAAAGAAAATTTACTTGTTTAGGCACATTTACACAAAAGTACAGCTACACACAAGTACAGTTATACATAAACACAATTACACATAAGTTAATCAGTAACATATGTATACATTACCCAAGATAATCCCCATAAAAGAGTGAAAATGGGTTATTTCCACTGGGGACCTTGTAATATCTTACTGTTAGATACAGGAGAAACCAGTAGTGCTTATAAACACAAAAATAAAATGAACTAACCAAATCAACTGCATGAAATCAGCTGCAATAAAAAGATGAACAAAAAGAGACAAAATAAACAGTGAAGCTTACGTGAAGAGAGGTAAATTCTCTTATTATCAAAGTTACACTGAAGCTATCTTTACCAGACATCATTCTCCTCTCTTTCTGTAGCTTCATTCATTAGGTACCTTATTGTAGCTTCATTCATTAGGTACCTTATTGTAGCTTCATTCATTAGGTACCTTATTGTAGCTTCATTCATTAGGTACCTTATTGTAGCTTCATTCATTAGGTACCTTATTGTACCTTCATTCATTAGGTAATTTCTTGTAGCTTCATTCATTAGGTACCTTATTGTAGCTTCATTCATTAGGTACCTTATTGTAGCTTCATTCATTAGGTACCTTATTGTAGCTTCATTCATTAGGTACCTTATTGTAGCTTCATTCATTAGGTACCTTATTGTAGCTTCATTCATTAGGTACCTTATTGTAGCTTCATTCATTAGGTACTTTCTTGTAGCTTCATTCATTAGGTACCTTATTGTAGCTTCATTCATTAGGTACCTTATTGTAGCTTCATTCATTAGGTACTTTCCTGTAGCTTCATTCATTAGGTACCTTATTGTAGCTTTATTCATTAGGTACTTTCCTGTAGCTTCATTCATTAGGTACCTTATTGTAGCTTCATTCGTTAGGTACCTTATTGTCGCTTCATTCATTAGGTACCATATTGTAGCTTCATTCATTAGGTACCTTCCTGTAGCTTCATTCATTAGGTACCTTTCTGTAGCTTCATTCATTAGGTACCTTTCTGTAGCTTCATTCATTAGGTACCTTATTGTAGCTTCATTCATTAGGTACCTTATTGTAGCTTCATTCATTAGGTACCTTCCTGTAGCTTCATTCATTAGGTACCTTTCTGTAGCTTCATTCATTAGGTACCTTTCTGTAGCTTCATTCATTAGGTACCTTATTGTAGCTTCATTCATTAGGTACCTTCCTGTAGCTTCATTCATTAGATACCTTCCTGTAGCTTCATTTAATAGGTACCTCCCTGTAGCTTCATTCATTAGATACCTTATTGTAGCTTCATTCATTATGTACCTTCCTGTAGCTTCATTCATTAGGTACCTTATTGTAGCTTCATTCATTAGGTACCTTTCTGCAGCTTCATTCATTAGGTACCTTATTGTAGCTTCATTCATTAGGTATCTTATTGTAGCTTCATTCATTAGGTACCTTCCTGTAGCTTCATTCATTAGGTACCTTTCTGTAGCTTCATTCATTAGGTACCTTTCTGTAGCTTCATTCATTAGGTACCTTATTGTAGCTTCATTCATTAGGTACCTTCCTGTAGCTTCATTCATTAGATACCTTCCTGTAGCTTCATTTAATAGGTACCTCCCTGTAGCTTCATTCATTAGATACCTTATTGTAGCTTCATTCATTAGGTACCTTCCTGTAGCTTCATTCATTAGGTACCTTATTGTAGCTTCATTTATTAGGTACCTTCCGGTACCTTCATTCATTAGGTACCTTATTGTAGCTTCATTCATTAGGTACCTTATTGTAGCTTCATTCATTAGGTACCTTATTGTAGCTTCATTCATTAGGTACCTTTCTGTAGCTTCATTCATTAGGTACGTTTCTGTAGCTTCATTCATTAGGTACCTTATTGTAGCTTCATTCATTAGATACCTTCCTGTAGCTCCATTCATTAGGTACCTTATTGTAGCTTCATTCATTAGGTACCTTATTGTAGCTTCATTCATTAGGTACCTTATTGTAGCTTCATTCATTAGGTACCTTATTGTAGCTTCATTCATTAGGTTCCTTCCTGTAGCTTCATTCATTAGGTACCTTATTGTAGCTTCATTCATTAGGTAATTTCTTGTAGCTTCATTCATTAGGTACCTTATTGTAGCTTCATTCATTAGGTACCTTATTGTAGCTTCATTCATTAGGTACCTTATTGTAGCTTCATTCATTAGGTACCTTATTGTAGCTTCATTCATTAGGTACCTTATTGTAGCTTCATTCATTAGGTACTTTCTTGTAGCTTCATTCATTAGGTACCTTATTGTAGCTTCATTCATTAGGTACCTTATTGTAGCTTCATTCATTAGGTACTTTCCTGTAGCTTCATTCATTAGGTACCTTATTGTAGCTTTATTCATTAGGTACTTTCCTGTAGCTTCATTCATTAGGTACCTTATTGTAGCTTCATTCGTTAGGTACCTTATTGTCGCTTCATTCATTAGGTACCATATTGTAGCTTCATTCATTAGGTACCTTCCTGTAGCTTCATTCATTAGGTACCTTTCTGTAGCTTCATTCATTAGGTACCTTTCTGTAGCTTCATTCATTAGGTACCTTATTGTAGCTTCATTCATTAGGTACCTTATTGTAGCTTCATTCATTAGGTACCTTCCTGTAGCTTCATTCATTAGGTACCTTTCTGTAGCTTCATTCATTAGGTACCTTTCTGTAGCTTCATTCATTAGGTACCTTATTGTAGCTTCATTCATTAGGTACCTTCCTGTAGCTTCATTCATTAGATACCTTCCTGTAGCTTCATTTAATAGGTACCTCCCTGTAGCTTCATTCATTAGATACCTTATTGTAGCTTCATTCATTATGTACCTTCCTGTAGCTTCATTCATTAGGTACCTTATTGTAGCTTCATTCATTAGGTACCTTTCTGCAGCTTCATTCATTAGGTACCTTATTGTAGCTTCATTCATTAGGTATCTTATTGTAGCTTCATTCATTAGGTACCTTCCTGTAGCTTCATTCATTAGGTACCTTTCTGTAGCTTCATTCATTAGGTACCTTTCTGTAGCTTCATTCATTAGGTACCTTATTGTAGCTTCATTCATTAGGTACCTTCCTGTAGCTTCATTCATTAGATACCTTCCTGTAGCTTCATTTAATAGGTACCTCCCTGTAGCTTCATTCATTAGATACCTTATTGTAGCTTCATTCATTAGGTACCTTCCTGTAGCTTCATTCATTAGGTACCTTATTGTAGCTTCATTTATTAGGTACCTTCCGGTACCTTCATTCATTAGGTACCTTATTGTAGCTTCATTCATTAGGTACCTTATTGTAGCTTCATTCATTAGGTACCTTATTGTAGCTTCATTCATTAGGTACCTTTCTGTAGCTTCATTCATTAGGTACGTTTCTGTAGCTTCATTCATTAGGTACCTTATTGTAGCTTCATTCATTAGATACCTTCCTGTAGCTTCATTCATTAGGTACCTTATTGTAGCTTCATTCATTAGGTACCTTATTGTAGCTTCATTCATTAGGTACCTTATTGTAGCTTCATTCATTAGGTACCTTATTGTAGCTTCATTCATTAGGTTCCTTCCTGTAGCTTCATTCATTAGGTACCTTATTGTAGCTTCATTCATTAGGTACCTTATTGTAGCTTCATTCATTAGGTACCTTATTGTAGCTTCATTCATTAGGTACCTTTCTATACTTTCATTCATTAGGTACCTTTCTGTAGCTTCATTCATTAGGTACCTTATTGTAGCTTCATTCATTAGGTACCTTATTGTAGCTTCATTCATTAGGTACCTTTATGTAGCTTCATTCATTAGGTACCTTATTGTAGCTTCATTCATTAGGTACCTTCCTGTAGCTCCATTCATTAGGCACCTTCCTGTATCTTCATTCATTAGGTACCTTTCTGTAGCTTCATTCATTAGGTACCTTATTGTAGCTTCATTCATTAGGTACCTTCCTGTAGCTTAATTCATTAGGTACCTTATTGTAGCTTCATTCAATAGGTACCTTATTGTAGCTTCATTCATTAGGTACCTTGTTGTAGCTTCATTCATTAGGTACCTTCCTGTAGCTTCATTCATTAGGTACCTTCCTGTAGCTTCATTCATTAGGTACTTTATTGTAGCTTCATTCATTAGGTACCTTTCTGCAGCTTCATTCATTAGGTACATTAGTGTACCTTCATTCATTAGGTACCTTCCTGTAGCTTCATTCATTAGGTACCTTATTGTAGCTTCATTCATTAGGTACCTTTCTGTAGCTTCATTCATTAGGTACCTTCCTGTAGCTTCATTCATTATGTACCTTATTGTAGCTTCATTCATTAGGTCCCTTTCTGTAGCTTCATTCATTAGGTACCTTATTGTAGCTTCATTCATTAGGTACCTTATTGTAGCTTCATTCATTAGGTACCTTATTGTAGCTTCATTCATTAGGTATATTATTGTATCTTCATTCATTAGGTACCTTCCTGTAGCTTCATTCATTAGGTACCTTCCTGTATCTTCATTCATTAGGTACCTTATTGTAGCTTCATTCATTAGGTACCTTATTGTAGCTTCATTCATTAGGTACCTTCCTGCAGCTTCATTCATTAGGTACCTTATTACAGCTTCATTCATTAGGTACCTTCCTGTAGCTTCATTCATTAGATACCTTCCTGTAGCTTCATTCATTAGGTACCTTATTGTAGCTTCATTCATTAGGTACCTTTCTGTAGCTTCATTCATTAGGTACCTTCCTGTAGCTTCATTCATTAGGTACCTTACTGTAGCTTCATTCATTAGGTACCTTATTGTAGCTTCATTCATTAGGTAC